AAGGCCCATAGGGTTGTGAGACGTTCAGGATCCCACATTATCTAGACAGTCGGCCTAGAGATGGCGGTAAGGTTGTCAGCCTTACGCGCCGGCCGCGCTTTACTCCCCAGGGAAATTATTTATTTAATTTCTGGTACTCATTTCTGTTAGAGGCTGAGTGAACCCCAGGGCCATAGTGCGGCCGGAAGGATTAGGTCAATTAAAAAAAACCCAGTGGCCTCATCGGTATTTGAACCCGCGACCTTCCGACTTGTAGCACAGTGTACAGTACTGAGAGGAATATTTGGACGGACGCATCCTCGCATAAAATACGACCCCACTGTATATAACTGAGGTACGGTTTCCTGAATCGTGATGTAAGGAAATCCGCCATTTCGTATAGGATAAAGTGACACTGTCCCGAATGTTTTGCGTGCTTGTGGTTACAAATTACACATCGTTCTTCATGTCACTTGCATGTAGGCAGTGTTGGTCATGTCGAAGCAGCCATGCATCTCGAGTATAACAATCAGTATACAGTACACTCCCCAGTACTGTTAGTTCCTCGGAACTCTAGCCGTGGTAGAGAGGTCATACCATCTCTCGCGGAGCTGGGGGAGCAGTCTTATCAGCTTACGTCAGCGTGGGTACTACCAGTTTGGAATGTAGCGTCTTGAAGTGTGGTCAGGTGTATACTACTCCTCGTCTCCGTAGGCAATTATTTTCCTCTCGGGAAGTAGCTCTGAACGTCACCACAGGAAGCGTACAGCTTCGCGTCCTCCACAAAAGCGTTTACCTTTCCGCGCGGTTAAAGTTACGAGGCACTAACTATACTCGTACATACTTGTTTCCTGACCACCCTCTCACGTTTAACTTTCTCTGCAACTTTGATAACAGCGCCTGCCAATTTAGGAAAGGTATTTCGAAAGAACGCTTATTGTATCGTTAAGGAATCTATATCAAGTAGCGAATTCGTTGTGAGTAGCTAGATCTCGTATGCAGAGCGCGTGCGCGTAAACAAAGACATTAAGTTGTTTGGACTTCGGATGCCCACTGTTGGATTTAGAAAGAGAGGGAATGTTGTAGGCCGTGGAGTGACTGTAACAGCATGTTTTTATAGTTGGTTATTTAACGACATTCTCAGCATCGAGACAGTATAGCTTCCGATGATATTTATGAACGGTGAATTGTAACGGGCCGGTCACGGTAGCCGAGCGGTCTGTCTTCGCTCGCTTGGAAACCGGGATCGTGGGTTCGAATCCCACTCAGGGCATGGATGTTTAGTTTGTGTGTGTGTGCGCGCTTTTCTGTGTTTGTGTACAGGTAGAGGCCTTGCGATGAGCTGATCACCCGCCCAAGGAATCCTACCGAATGTGTAAGATCTAGAAAAACCGAAGTGAACGGAGAAGTTCATGGAGGTAGGCCTAGGTCCACTGGGGCTGTAGTGCCGAGGAAAAAAAAAATTGTAACGGATTTGGAAAGCAATCGTGGCGTAATTAAGGTGTGTATATGGCCCTACAGCTCTTGTGGACCTTGGCAGCTTTTTTCAGTTTCTTAATCTATACACAGACGTTAGGACTCTTTGGACGGGGAATCAACATGTCGCAAGGCCGCTACGTACACACACAACAAAACAAACACAGAATAAACGCACACACATCCATACCTCGAGTGGGATTCGAACTCAGGTTCCTAACGTTCGAGCAAACGAACAGACTTCATGCCTCAGACTGCGCGGCCACTGTGACCGACACGTTATTGAGGTACTATCCTACAATTTACCTGGGTGGACTGAGGAAAATCACAAGAAGCGTCAGGATAACCGGTGCCTCGATCGAGATTCGAAATGAGTATCTCCCGAATACAACTTTAGAGCTTTACCGCTTGATATACCTCTTTGGATGTACATGTTTCCTTAGGGACGGGGGCTGAGTACGAGACAGGTTAACGGGGATCTACAAGGTGAAATTCAATCCCGCTAACTCAGGAGTACGTAACGGAAGTATACCACGACCTCAGGTGGTAGAAGTACCGGACATGAGCAAGCCGGGTGCTCACAGGTCCAAGTTCCACATTCCACGAGGAGGTCGCGACGTGCCATTCTATTTCAGTGACAGCTTCAGTAGCTCTATTTAGATCAGTATGTGAAATATGAACTTGTTCTTACGACTGTGTGAACATGTTAAAATAGAGCTTCCAATTAACGCCTCCTAGTTAACAATAGTCAAGGTGAAACAAGTGTGAAAAACATGAGCTACAGACCTACACAGATTTGGTCTAACAAGTTGCCACTCACATCTCTCAAGGCTTGTAAGTTTTGAAGTCCGTATGTGACCTTTTTGCAACGAAACTTCGCAGCTTCACCGTGCTCAGGTGTAACGGCTCCAGGGCCGTTGAATTTATTTTCATTTGAGTTTATATTTGAGATTTGTAGTGACCGTTCTCTGTGACACATTTAGGTCAAAATCGGACGACAGCGCTAGATGCTTTAGATGGAGATCGGCATGCGTTTTTGCGCACACCTCGAGGTAAAAAGTTGTTCCTGTGGTTAACTAGTTAAGCATTGCGCCGCTAAGGCACATGGGAGAGTGGATGTATGGGTCCACATTTTCTTGGCATCGGTACTAGCTGGAGGTGAGTGGTCAGCTTCATGTCCCGGCTGCTTTACCCCCGTTTAGGCAGTCTTCGGTACCCATTGTATAGGAGGTTGGGTGGACCCCAAAGCCGGTTTGGAAGACGTGGAAAGGAGAATCCTTTACCCTGCCGGGTCTCGAACTCCAACCCCTTTGTCGTCCAGCCCGTAGCTAGTCGCTATCCCGGCGCTGCACACCTCGAGGTAACTCGCTTAATATTAATCGGAGCCAAAATTTTTTCGAACAGAAGTACTCAAGAATGAAACAGATATTTGATGCCGAATATGATTTCTCCGGAAATCTTAAGATTGTCGAAATCATTACAAAAGTGACATCGCAACAGAAAAAAAAGGTAATAATAGGGCGAACGCTGTGAGTAAACCCATTGTTTTCCAACCCGTTACCATACGTATTATTTTTTTTAATTCACTTATTGGTGGGTGGAGTCCAACTAGGTCCACTCGGCACGGCGGCCACTGATCGACCTATTGTAGGCTGCCCCGAGTGATTATGATGATGGAGAATTTGGTGGAATGAAGATTGGCAGGGAAACCGAAGTTCTCGGAGAAAACCCTCCCCAGCGCCACTTGTCCACCACAAATCCCACTTGACCAGACCCGGGACGAACCCGGGACGGCGCGGTGGGAAGCCAACGACTAACCGCTTGAGCTGTGGCGTGTTACCATACTTAATTTCGGTTATGAGGGTTTGGGGCTGTCCAATCAGCACAGTCACATCCTAGGGGCTTCACCTCTGATCCGGCACGCGGCTGCTTATGGTATCCTGCCTGTCTGTCCTTTCCCCACTAATAACTGTTTAACCATTTTGCGTATTTTAGTGAAGCTTCATATAACAGTCACGCCGCGAGGACAACACTCAACCTTTATGCTCTCCTGCGGTTAATGATGCCGCGGACATCGGGGCCACGAGAACCTGTGAGTTGGCCGTGGCATTAGCGCCACTTATATAATGCAGGAACCGGAAATTTTGTGTACTAATTAGAGCTTCGGGAAAATATGGAGATTTGTTTGGGAACTTCTTTACGTAGAATGTAAACGAGAACATGGCGGCCACGCGAAATATAAATTTAGCTTTCGGTCTCATGATGAAATTCATTTTATATGGAGAAATCTGTAAACGCATCTACCAATTCTAGATGATTATTGATTACGTATCAAGAGTTAGAAAACAAGGCGACTTCCAAGCCTTTTAAGCTTGACATATATCTGCAACTTAGAGGAGGAGGAGGGATCGGCCACATCACAATTAATAACTAGGCCTAGTGGAAAATATGCACATAAAAAGGGAATTTTTCGCATAAATGGACCAATGAACTATACAAATATTAATTTATAGTTCTTGCTGACCTCACCTTGTACTGAAACTCTTACAGAAAAACCGACTTTCTTAATTACGTAGGAATTTACTTGCTGCCTACTTCCTACTGGTATCTCCCCCCCCCCCTTGGCACTACAGCCCCAGTGGGCCTAGGCCTACCTCCATGAACTTCTCCGTTCACTTCGGTTTTTGTAGATCTTACACATTCGGTAGGACTCCTTGGGCGGGTGATCAGCTCGTCGCAAGGCCTCTACGTGTACACAAACACAGAGAAACGCACACGCACAAACTAAACATTCATGTCCTGAGTGGGATTCGAACCCACGATCCCGGTTTCCAAGCGAGCGAAGACAGTACATTCCTTAGACCGCTCGGCTACCGTGACCGGCCATGCTGGTATCTAGCGTGGTTTGATCTTCAAACCAGAAGATGGAAGCGATGTGTTCCACCGAAACATCAGTTGAATTTCAACGGATTACGCGGCATTGTACTGAAGAAGGCAGAACTCTTTTTAGTGACATTCTTCTTTTAATTTATCACTTTTCTGCGTACGGTTGAGAGTAATGAAATATTTTCGGCATATGTTTGAGCCACTCTGTTCAGTATTCAATAGGATTACATATATTTTGTCTTTTCCTGGAACAATTTTTAAAACACATCACTGTTCTCCTCTGGTTACGGTGTATGAGATTCAGTATGCAGTGCAACAGAAGAACGTAGCTGGTATTCGAACCAGTAAAACTTACCGTGGATTGTTCTTTGTATATGTATCGAGTTTCATTGCTTGCAGATTACGAATTGGGTTGTGATTTTTTCGCCACGTGGAATAGATCGTTATGTGGCAGAGCGTTTCCGGCGTTCCAGATGCTGCGTGGTTTTATTTAAGAATGGAATTTTTGAAGTCACGTCCCTCCCCCCCGAGGGTACCCAATGCCAGCCAGATACCTTGTCCTTTGTTTTATTTATAACCACGTTCACGTGTGTCCTGTTATCCCTTGCTTTTGCCCAGATGTAACGTGTTAAAATACGTTTCTTTAATTTTGTTTACAGATGTCACGTGTTTCGTATGGAATGCAAACCTTTGAGACATATGACCCTACGCGGGGTTAACCACTGGGAATCACCAATATCCGGACAAAGAAGCGCATTCCGGATTGTTAATTTATGAAAATAAATTTACAAAGGATTTGTGTATACTTCGCCGAGCAGGTAAGCGAATGTAGCTTGTTGAATGTCGATCATTGTTGACTTTCATAATAAACTGAACTGCAAGAATAGGGGTCAAGTCTAAGTTGTCTGTATGAAACAGAATCTGTAGACTTGTGTGTTATTTACATAATAAGGCTGTATTAATGAGTACAGAACGAAATGCCCAGTCAGTATAGCGACTGGCTACGGGCTGGACGACCGAGGGGTCGGAGAGTCCCGGAGGGGTCAAGAATTTTCACCTCTCCATGTCGTCCAGACCGGCTCTGCAGCCCACCCAACTTCCTATCCAATGGGTACCGGGGGCTCTTTCCCGGGGGTACAGCTGCCGGGTCGCGAATCTGACCACTCATCTCCAACTAGTTCCGAGGTCAAGAGAATACGGATCTATACATCCACTCCCCTATACTCCTTCATGGTGTAGTAATTAATTAGTTAAGCACAGAGACAACTTTATAGAACGAAACGCATTTAAAGGAAAGAATCTGTAAGAGAAAAATGTGTTAAAAAATTAAATGCTTGAAGTTGTCAGTTTTGATTGTTAGGTTGAATGGTGTATGCCGCAAGAGACAGCGAGTGCTAATATAAACCCAAATAGACCTAAAATAATTCTGTAGAACTACAGAGTGATTCAGAAAGATGGACACAATTTCAATTGACTATATTTCCTGAACTGTATGTTGCATTTGAATTCTGTAAAGTACATTTGAAAGAGGATGTTACAAAGTTTCTAGTACTACCGCTAGTGCCCTCCATCACTGCGTCCCGGGCCGATCGCGTGTATCGGAGGAGAACGTGGAGTGCATTCGAGTGAACTTTGAGCGCAGCCCAATGAAGTCAACCCGTAGTGCTAGTAGAGAACTTGGACTATCGCAAACAACTGTGTGGCGTGTACCACCTCTTCCCACAAATTTGAATGACCTAAGAAACTGTATCACAGCTGCGGTGAACTCAGTGACGCAAGATATTTGTCATCGAGTGTAGGATGAATTCAGCTACCGTGTAGATGTTATCCGTGCAGCCGGAGGAGGGGGGGGGGCACATTGAACATCTATAAACTTCCATGTATGTATAATCAAGTGAAATTTACAGAATTCAAATGCAACATATAATTCGGGAAATATAGCCAATTGAAATTGTGTCAATCTTTCTGAATCACCCTGTATATTACCCACTCAGAAATACAGCGTCTTATGTAACGCACACTTCTACGTCAGTCCCACAAGCAGATGTTGCCAGTGCCCATATAATGGATCCGTATTGTGAAGTTAACAAAAAAGAAAATCAGAGAATGGAGACATTCTCGTACGCTCGTTTCCACACACAAGGCCCAAGGTACAGACAGAATGATGAATTATCATCATCATCTGTGGGTCTAGAGCCCTTCGTTGGGCCTTAGCCGGTTGTTCAGTTTCTTAATCTTTTACACAGTCGGTAGGACTCCTTGGACGGGGGATCAGCCCGTCGCAAGGCCGCTACCTGCACACAGAACAACACAAACACAGGATGAACAACACAGACATCAGTACCTCAAGTAGGATTCGCATCCATGGTCCCAGTGTTTGAACAGACGAAAACAGGCACATGCCTTAGACCAGCCCTGTCCAACGCGGCGCCCGTGGTATATTTTTCTGGCGCCCTCCGTAACCACATATAATTGAGCCGATTTTTAATATTAATTCAAATTGTAAGACAAGAGACATTTTTTAACGTCTGAGTACTGTTAAATATTTTCGAAAAATTTTATTATTATTATTATTATTATTAGTAGTAGTAGTAGTAGTAGTACTAGTAGTAGTAATATGTGGTGGCGCCCGCACCTCCATAGGCATCAGTGAATTGTGCCCGAGTACATAAGAGCGTTGGACAGCACTGCCTTAGACCGTGCGGCCGTTGTGATGGGCGATGAATTATCAACCCAACGATTATATTAGAGAAGAACTTTGTATAAGAGCTTAACTACAACATTAAAAAAAACTGTAGCGGAATGGTTAGAATATTCGGACACTGGGAACCGAGTTCGAAGCTGCTGTATAAATGTAAACCGTTAAATACGCTAACCCTTCGTTGTCTTACTTCCTCGTGAATCAGTGAAGTTCGAGAGAACCGCTGTCCCGTCTGTTTCCAGATGCGCAGCAGAATGCAGCCAAGCACACAGCCCTGGAAACAATGAGATAGATATGTTTATCTCTTTTTTTCGTTCTTGTTTATCAGTATTTGAATATAGTTTGACATTTACAGTTACATCTTTAACATACACCCACATATTGTTGTCCTTTGTTCACCCTGACCTTAACAGTTATGGAAAAAAAAAGAAAGAAAAAAAGGTTACACCCTCCTGCGGTTCCACCGTCAAGAGTCACGACGCCAGATTAGGGTCAATGTGCCCTTGAATCTACGACGTTAGACTTCTCGGCACGTCCTCAATTTAAATGGCTTCCGTGCTTCTTAACCATTTAGAAGGATGTATTAACATCAACATCTGAAAGCTATTTGGTTTCTAATAAAACCACATCTTTACTACACAGACTTTCTACAATTGTTACGCATGAGAAGTTCAGGAAACCGTGTTGAAGTAAATTACAAACAATAGGCAAAAAAACAGCTAACCACTCATTTTGTCAGTGCTTGAATTCCTCATAAATGCAAAGTTCAGGTCGCCATGTTACATTATTAATAAATACTGAAGAGCTATTCTGCTAACTGACAAATTGACTGACTTCAAATAGCTTAGACCTTCTTGAGAAGTCGGAAACAGTTCACATGGTCAAAAAAAAAATCCTACGCTTTATGGAACCCAGAGGTCCAAGTCCCTTTCCTAAGCCAGACGAATTTTGTTCGCATTCTTACATCGTAGTCCTTGGAGCTCCGCTTTAATAATATACTGCCATATCTTCCTAGATGTCACCAAGTCTCTCTTCAGGTTTTCCGACAAGAATAGTTGAATCATTTCTCATATTCCCATGCATGTTATATGTTCCATCTCGCCGCATCCAGTAATATATAGGGAAAAATGAAAATTATGAAGCTTCTCGTTATACCTTCAGTTTTCTCCACATTCATGTATTTTCTTCTCTTACGACCACATATTTTCCTCAGGACATCTTTTCCGAACACACGCAATCCCATGTTCTTCCGTAGGGGACAAGAGTCAGAAGTAAGTTTTGAGGTTTTCACGGCGATGACCATGAAGAAAGTCGTCTTCTGAGATCTGGCGCCGTATATTCTTGGTTTTAACCGACGTTTCGGAGGAACATATCGCCTCCATCTTCAGGGTAGTTGAGTTGCGAATACAGATAGCTGCTCAACTACCCTGAAGATGGAGGCGATATGTTCGTCCGAAACGTCGGTTAAAACCAAGAATACACGGCGCCAGATCTCAGAAGACGACTTTCTTCATGGTCATCGCCGTGAAAACCTCATCAAAGAGTGAGACGTGTTTATGTCCACGTAGAACACAGGTGATGTTACAGACCTGTGTAGTTTAAGCCTCAGGTTTCAAGATAGGAGAGACAGGAACTGAGTAGAATTTAATCTGCTTTTTGTTTCTTTGTTTTATTTAATCACTTCATTGCCTTAGTGACTTAGATTGTTTATAGGATTCCGTAACGAATCTTTGCCTTCTCTCATATTGGCACATTTACTGAATCTGTTTTGTGATACACTCCCCAACGTTCCTCTGGAACACTGTCTCCATATTTGTGACCCCGTAGGTCGTGGGCTGGAAATCAGGCTGCGTATAGGTGTACATGTTTGGGGGATTTCAAGTATTGAAGATTTCCCACACGTAAGTTATTGGCCTGTCGGAAGGTAAGACCGGTGGAGTTGGGTGAAATGGAATTCTGATTACATTTCTGATGTATCTTGTGTGATAAGGACTACATTTGATCCTTTTTGTTTGCAATGTTATGTATTGGTACAGTCGGAGTTGTGTAGATATTTTCTTGGACGTCAGTGAACTTGAGAATGTATCACATTAATCGAAAATCACAGAAACTGAAATCTGTGGTATTAAAAAGTCGTGTATATTTATGATCTCGTGCTTATGCAACATGAATGCGGATTGGCCCATAACGGAAACTACGCGTCCTGATCCAATTCGTTGGTAGAAAAGCTCTTCACAGTACACTGACTCCTCTGTTCGGAGTTCCGTAAAATAACTGCAAACATCTCGGTACATTGTTGTCATGACTTGCTTCCCATTAGCACACATTTATTCATAGCATTAATTCTTGAGCGTTTTCTAAACAGAAAATGGTTTCAAAATGACTTATTTTATCTAGAAGCTGTAATAACAAATTGAATTTACTTGCATGGTTAAATAAAAATACAAAATTCGTTCAGAGTCGATGTTGGTAGTCAGTTAAGGTCTATAAACGTCTTTCCTCCTCTTCTCCTGCTCTTCTTCTTCGTTATGCTTTGAAGCTTGTTGCGTCCATTCAGGCTTCCTGTTGGACCGTGTCCTTCCACCTCATTTTTGGTCTTCTCGAGATTATCTTTCTGTTCACTATCTAATCTCTCATTTCTGTCACTAATCGATTACCTTCCATTCGGTCAGTGTGTTCACACCATTTCGTTCTCCTGTTATTAATCCATTTGCTTCTGGGTTTAAGTGACCCTTATAGCAGAACTTCTGACGTTTCTCCTCAGTGATCTTTACGTGATCTTTCGCAGTACTGCTATCACTGGTTTTACTGATATGCTTAATTTTCATGTTTGAGTTCTACTTTCACAGCCGTTTGTCAATACGAAACTCCTTATTATCTCTTTAAATGCGGGGTAACATTAAATTGAATTCTTGTCAATGGACTCGATGTTGCTTTTTAGCTTACATATTACAACAGGGGACGACCATGGAATCGGGGTTCCAATTTCGGGAGGTGAAATATTTCTGTTCTTACCTCCTGGCGACACGCGGGAGCATAGTTGGTTGAGGCATTATGCTACAAGCCGGAATGTCGCGGGTTCGATGAGGTTATTGGATTTTTTCAATTGATCTAATCCTTCTAGCTGCACTGTGGCCCTGAGGTCGACTCAGCCACTAACAGAAATGAGTACCAGGAATATTTCCTGGGGGTAAAAGGCGGCCGGCGCGTAAGGCTCACAGCCTCACCGTCATCTGTGAGCTGATTGTCTAAAATTGTGTGAGTCTTGACGTCAGACAACCCTATGGGCCTCCATGGCCTGTTACAGGTACAGCTTTATCTCCCCCCCCCCCTCCTGTAGCGTCTCGGGCCAACCCAGTCTCTTGTTTTGGGTATCTGGGCCTCCTTCCCCAGGGGTAAAGGAGCAGATGCCTAAAGCTGGCCACTCCATTTGCTGTCAAGGTTAAGAATAGTGGAGCTATATCTGCACTCCTCGTACACGTGCCTTAGGTAATTTAAGTACGGGGTAACTTTGCCTTTGTCCTTGGATTGGCCATGGAATGCTGGAGTTCCCCATATCCATTTTGGATGCCATTGAAGGATACGTGAAAAGAAGTTGGATGTTCATGAGCAGCTGCTCGTACGCATACACGAAGGGAAAATAACAAAGTGACGCCCAAAGTGAAGTTGGCAGCACTGAAGAACATGGCGGATGTAAGCAGTGAACCGTACTTCATTTTCACCCATTTGATTTTCATGGTATTTTGAGACGCAATAATGCCGTGACATCTAGCATGGCGGTTCCATTGATAAAATGCAGAAAACACCAGATTGTGATCCGAATTCAGTGGTCAGAGGGTGTGAAAACTAGTGATATTTGCGGAAGAATGACAGTTCAGTATGGCGGAACCTCAGAACAGTTGCGATTCACGTTTCATGCATATATTTTTCTATTGTTTCCTGTTATTAGTTCAGGCTGTACTGCATCGAATAATACGATTAGTAAATAAGGAATTGAGGAGGATGCGGAGAAAACGTTTATGGCCGAATGTGATTTACTTTCACGGCATGTGCTTAAAACACTGAAGACAGCTACAAAAAAATTAAAACTCCGTGGCGTGTCCGGTCTCTGGATAGAGATATGAACTCGTGACCTCCGAAGTACGAAGCAGGAGTGCAGCTCACCGGACCGCGATGTTCGGTGTGAGTTAATCAGTGGCCGCCGTGCCGAGTGGACCCAGTTGGGCTCCACTCCCCACTAAGCGAATTAAAAAAAAATAGGGACCGCCTCTATGGTCTAGTGGGCAAAGTACCTGGCTACAGATTCAGAGGTCCGGGTTCGACTCCCAGCGCTACCAGATTTTCTGAGAAGTAGTGTGTCTGGAACTGGGTCCACTCAGCCTCGTGAGGATAAATGAGGAGCTATTTCAAGGAAATAGCGGCTCCGGTCTAGAAAACCGAGATTAACTGCCGTGGGGATCCGTTGCGCTGACCACGTGACATCCTCTGTCCGCTAAAGTTGGCACTATCTTCGCCGACAAGGGGTGGTCGCTCGGTCAGTATAGTTCGCTTGCGGACTGAAAGCCACGGAGTAATATTGAGGTTAATCAGCGTATCCGAGACAACTGAAGAAAACATATTCTGATGAAATAAGGGAACTTGTGGGACAGAATGCTTTGAAAATCTGGGTGGTTACGCAGAAAAATAAGTTATGTCTAATTACCGTTTAATTACTTTGTCAAAACATGATGAATCGCTTTTTTTTTGTCTTTATTTTATCATCTCCCTGCCGTAATGATGTATAATTAGACTTGCTATAAGGAATTTTCAGTGAAAATATACCGCATAGGGATGGATTTCTTTGGCTGTTGGTATCAGTTATTGTTGTACTGCGATGTTTGCTGAGTTAGTGAAATGTCGTGGCGTGCTTCTGTAATTGAAATAGCTATGAAGCAGCGGAGCGAACATATTCCAATTAACCTATTATGAATAACAAGAAACAACAGTAAAGTAAGAACTCATTGTACACCGCATTGAAAAAGAATGTTATGCAGTCTCTTAAATGCTTTAGTCTTTTGTTTTGTCTACTTTTTTTTCGTTTTCACTTTTTGTTCCAATATCTGAGTATTCTTGATCATAAAAATTTTTAACATATTTAGAAACTTGTTTTAGACCTGTTGCTACAATAATGATAAATCACATGCAATCGTTTTGAATGTTTCTGACATTCCACTGTTGAAATTAGATGCATGTATAGGAATTTCTTATATGAAATGTCAGGCACACGAGCGGACA